TTAAGTTTTGCCCAATATTTATTTGGAAGATTAGAAATAAAAGAAATACATGATAAAAAAAAAAGAAACGCACTTGGCTGATTCATGTGGTAGAGAGTCGCACTGCCTTACGGGAAGGTCGAGGGTTCAAGCTCCAGATCAGACAAACACTCAGGGTCGTTAAATAACTGAGGAAAACGCGCTTCTTCTGCCATGACATCGGAAAATGGTTAGACATTCTAGCCTTCTCGGATGAGCATGATAAACCGTAGACTCCGTCTCCTGCATCTCCTCTGTATTGGTTAGCAGGGGACGTTAAAGAACTCCCGCGCTTCTTTCGAAGAGTAGGGAACGTAACTAACGGTGTTGTGGTCTTGGCCTTGTCATTGTTTATACAACCCCCCATCTAAACTAGTTTTGAGCCGAACTGGGTCAGCCTGTCTGAATATCTCAGTAACAAATACATACGTATAAAAGCACTCTAAGAACAAGGTTTGTACGGACAGGTAGTTAAGATGACTTTAAATCAGCTTGATAGAATACCTAACTTATTTCATATTAATAGTGGAGTGTTCTCCCTAAAAAATAAATAGAGGTTATCAATGTTTCTGTAGGTTAAATTGTAAAGATAGTAAGGGTTAGACTCGGTTATGAAATAAACAAAGAAGTCTTTCGATTGGTCTCGTTCCCCACTTCCTCACTCCTGTATCAGTCGGTCTGCACGCTCTGTGCTCGTTGACCTTTGCCGATTCGCACTCTGCTTCTCGTTAATTTACTTTGAGGAACAATAGCAGTTTGACACCTTTTAAGTGTCAAACTGGAGCCACAGGGCACAAAAACACAGCGTGACATATTCCCTTCATTAGAGGCTATTCAGGCAGAGGCTCGCCAAAATATTAATTTGTGCACAACAATCGAAATGTGAAGATGTAGAACAGCGAAAACTATAATGACCATTTACGAGGAAAAATTGGTTAATAATAAAAGAACATAAGCAAGAACACAACTAGACAGCATTTTATTTCAAGAATTAAAAGCTACATCTTAATAATTCCTTTAAGAAAGGGAGACTCTGTTGATTGAAAAGTGTCAACACAAGCTCCTAATTAACCCCCGCTATCACTATTGTCGGTATAGATCCAAAGTACCTGTGTCTCTAAGAAGTTTATATTTATACTGTGTTATGTTTAGCAGAAACCGCAAATGCAAAATTTTGTTTACACTGGAAGCTCCTGTTTACACCTAAAATTTCGCAATCTTAATATGTATTTGACCAATATTCCCGAAAAATAGATAAAACTCTTTTTATTCTTCAGGATGATTCATTTTTCGAACTTAGGCGTGATTAAGAATTTACGCATTTTTCCTACTTCAATTATTAATCTTTCTAGAACATGCCTTTTCGTGGCCATTGCCAAATTGATTTTAACACTGATTGATTGTTTTTTTTTTTTCTTAAATGCAATCTCAGCGGGGAATGAAACCTGTCGGTAAAAATTGAGATCAGGAGAGTTCTTTAAATAATATCAGCATAACAAAAATTCTTTTTCTCGGTTTCGGATGAAATAGCGACGAAATGGAGTTTCAGAGGCCTTTAATTTTTCTACAGGTGAACCTGCCGACCTTTATACATGTCTTCCATGTACTTCTGCTGTACTGAGATAAAACTGTTTTTTAACTTTCAAAAAACATATATCCATTCGCCTTATAGGTTCAAGTCTTGATCGTGGTAATTATCAGAGGCTTAGCGAGTGGAGGTATGTTTAACTCGTGGGATTTTGTACGCAAGGAAACTTTGATGTCTAAATGAAGAAGGCACCTTTTAGGGTGTTATCGAGGTTAAGGCCATGGAAACGTAATTTTCTTGTCTGGTATCAAAGAGCTTTTTAGGAGATATTTTTATGCAATGAGACAGTAGAATCGTAAGCGTTTGCAGTTTTATCTTGATAACGAACAAAAAAATATACTTTTATTTAGCTGTGCCATTCTGTTTTCCTTAAGCGCAATATTTCATCTGCCAATTAATCCATACATCGTCGAGTCTCAGGCACTCGAGTTAGAAATGTCTAGAGTCAGAAATGCCAGGACTTGAAAATCTTCCCCATTTACTTTAAATTGTTCTAGAATTCACATTACGAATCTTGCAATAACTTTGAAATGTTTATGAATTCACGTTATTAATCTTGCAATAACTTTGAAATGTTTATGAATTCACGTTATTAATCTTGCAATAACTTTGAAATGGGTATGAGCTTTGCCGAGAAACGCAGAGCGTGTGACGTAAAGACATGTTTATCGACCAGTGAGAGAGCGACAGCGATATCGAATATTTTTCAAACAAATGAATTAAATTTCTTTATCCTTTACTGCTGTTTTTCTCTTATTCAGCAATTTCTTCTCTTTTTCACCCT